AGCCCCAGAAGGGTCTCAGCACTTGTCCCCACCTCCTCACACAGCACTGGGGATTCTGGACCAGTCTTCCCATCCCTCATGTGAGTCCCAAGGCTGCTGCTGGCCCTCAGTCCCCTCCCCACCCACATTTCCCCTTTGCTCATGGCTGTGCTGAGCCTGGCATTTGTATCACTCTCCCTGGCCCCCTCAGGGTGCTCTCTCTACTCCTGGTCCTGGCTCATGCTGGGGGAGGAGAGGCCAGCAGGGCTCATCGTGCCCTGGGCAGGGAGCACCTGTGTTCTGAGTTTGGGTCAGAACTGGCTTCTCTTTCCTGCTTGTCACTCATCACTCTGTATTTTTTTCTCTTCTTTCTAGATTTATTTATTTGAAAGTCAGAGTTAGAGAGTGACAGGGAGAGGGAGAGGAGAGGGAGAGGAGTGGGAGAGGGAGAGGGGGAGAGAGAGAGAGGTCTTCCATCCACTGGTACACTCCCCAACTGGCTGCAATGGCCGGAGCTGGGCTGGGCAGGAGCTAGGAGCTTCTTCTGTGTCCCCCATTCAGGTGCAGGAGCCCAAGCACTTGGGCCATCTTCTGCTGCTTTCCCAGACACCATAGCAGGGAACTGGATCACAAGTGGAGCAGCTGGGACTGGAACCGGCATCCATATCAGATCCTGGCATCACAGGCAGCAGCTTAACCCATGGCACCACAGATGCCAGCCCCAATAAGGCACATTGTCAACAGCACCCACCCTGCCCCCTGCCACATGAGGAAAGCCTAGGGGTGCCCCCCCCCCCCAGGGTCACTGTGCTGGGCCAGGCTCAGCTAGAGGGTGGGGTGTACTCTGGGTGGTAGTTGAAGAACCAGCAAGGGCCTCCATGGGGGCCATCCTTCCTTGGTCCCTGTGGGCAACTGAGCCCTGCAGCAGGTTGGGGAGCAGCCCTAGCCAGGGAAGGGGGAGAAGGGAGGTGTAGGTGGGCACAGGTGACAGGGGGCCTGAGGGGACACCTTGCACCATGCAGGCCAGGCCTGTACGCATTGCTCCTTAACATCTTCCCCAGGTGGCTGGCGGGACCTTCCTGTTGGTGTTCTTCACCTCCCTGGCCACAGCCTCCACAAACCTGGCTGAGACCAGAGAATGGGGCTGTGTTAGGGACACGGGTGATGCCCTTTGTAGCACAAGATCCACCTGGATCTTCCCAATGGCTCTGCCAGCCTGGCACAGCCAGGCCCCGAGCTCTCTCTGGTACCAACCGGGCAGGTCCTCCCAGGCACCAAGCTGTGCCAACCGGATCATTTGAACCTAGGATTGTACCCTGGAGCTCCCAGCACTGCCTCCCTCTGGGGTCCAGGGTGCTGGGTCAGCTGTTTCCCAGCCGGTGGTCTCTTGAGCTGGGATGTGTTCACCTGAGCTTGTCCCATGGAGAGATGCTGGAGCAGAAATGGACCCTGTTACTCTTTTCAGGGTACCTGAGTCTCTGGACCTCGTCTGAGGACCACTGCCCCTTGTCTACACTGCAGCCCTGTGTCTACACCTCTGCCCTGTGTCCACACTGCTGCCAGCAACTATCTGGCTATCTGGCACCACCAGGGCTGCTAGGGGGCTGTGGTGCCAGGCATCAGGTGTGGGAGAAGGGTCTTCCCTGCCCCCTCAATCCCCTCCACAGTCAGCCCTGGGATGCTCAAGTTGTGCTGGTCCCTGGTGGGCACGGGCAGGGTGGGGGTGGGAGTGGGGCTGCCTGGAGGAGTCAGCCATCTAGAAAAGGGGCCAGATGGGGGCTGGGTACACCTGAGCTGAGCAGGTCCAGGAGCCCCAACCGTGAGCACCACTGTCTACATCGAGCAAGGGGGAAAGATGTGCCCATGTCCCAACCCCAGGGCCTGTGGCAACCCTCCTGATGCCAACCAAGAGTCCCTGCAGTGTGACTGAAGTGGGTGGTCGCATGGGCCCAGGCCCAATGGCAGCTGTTCTGTGAGACACAGGGGAGAGAGAGGTACCAACCCAGAGGGGAAGCCAATGTGCCACAAGCCTAGGGGAACCCACAACCCCCAGGAGTCTAAAGAGGCAGGAAGGAACCAGGGCCAGGGCTCCCAGAGGGAGCACGGCTCTCCCACCAGGCTGCAGACACGGGGATGGACGGTGCTAAGGCTCCCCCATAGTTGGGGGTTGGCACGGTGGCTGTAGGATACAGGCCTCAGAGCCCCTCCCTTCCTGGTCCTTGTGAGACCTCTCTCTCCAAGGCCGTGACAGAGCAGAGACAGCAGCGTCCAGTCCTGCTGTGTGTGTACAATTGCCTGGCTTTGCTGTTCCAGAAGATTCCACGGGAAGTGGTGGAGGGTGCTTCTCCACCAAAGTGTGTGTCAGGCTGCAGAGGGCTACCAGGTCACTGCTAGAGGGGACCCTTGTGGCTCGGCTGCCTCCCAGTCCAGCCCAGTGTACCACGCAGGCCATGCTGCCCAGGGCCATGTGTGCCAGGTGTCCCTTAGGACAGCTGAGTGAGCAAGCAAGCACCTCGCCCCTTGGAGCTCAGTCCCACCATGCTCCACCTCCCAGAAGCCCACCCGGGATGTTCTCAGCATGGGCTTTCCAGAATGCCATGCAGCTTTGAGTGTAGGTGACCCTGGGGTCGCAGAGGACAGGGTCCTAAGAGTGAGCAAGGTGGGACCGTAACCATCCCATTCTTTTTGGAGGATGGCTGGGTGTAGCATTGCGAGGATCAGGGGTGTGTGTGTCAGTAGCAGGGAGGAGGGGGGAGACCTGGGGACCTGGCCTCACCTTCCAGAGCCAGCGTGGGGTTATCACACCAGCCAGGCGGGGCAGGGGGCTGGGGGGAGCCCAGGGCACTCCAGTAAGGCAGAGCACACACCTGGGCATCCCTCGGGCCGGGGAGGGGGGAGGTTGCTTTCCTCCACCATACCCGGAGCAAAGTTCCTCCCCTTGGCCTCACCTGGCCGCCTGTGTCTCCCTTGTTCTGGCAGAGGTCGGAGAGGACACCTGGCTGCTTTTCCTGCCCGTGTTCACTGTGGTCGTGTCCCTTGGGGTGAACGTGCTGCTGCTCAGCTTTGTCATCGTGCTGGTGCTGGGCAGCTGATTTTCTGTCACATCTGCCTGAGTACATACCCCCCCCCCCACTCCCCGCCCTGGTCCGAGCACTGCCCACCACCCCCAGCATGCTCAGCTTGGCGCCCCAGGCAGGTGGCTTCCTGATCAACCTGGGCCAGACACGAGCTCGTAGCACAACTCTAGGATCTGTTGGCAATTGCAGAGCACAAGGAGCACAGTGAGGGAGGCTCCACTCGGAAAAGCACCACCCCAGACATGCTGTCCCCCTTGCAAGCTCCCTCATCCCTCAGCCAGAGGGGGTGCAGCGAGCCAGGAGAGTGGGCTTCCCTCAGTCTGCTTGGTCTCCAGCGCAGCTCCCAGCCTGCACCTGTGCCAGCAACATCTGGCACAGAATCGATGCCCTCTGCTGAGAAAGACCCTGTATGTCAACCCTGTTTCACCCACGCACCACATCACCACAAAGCCCTTTGCAAGTGCACTGCACACTTGCTCCTTGCTTTGGGTTCACTTTGGGTCTTGCCTTGAGGCTGGCACTGGTATTTTCCTGGAAAGTAAAATGAAGCACTCTGGTCTGAGTCTTGCGGGGTGCCATACCGAACCCTAAAGTTCCGTGGACTCAGCCAGAATTCCCTGGCCCCTTCTCTGCAGCCAGACCCTAGAGAATGGGGGATGAGGGTCCATGTGCTGCACCTTTAAAGCCTTCTTCCACTGCTGCCACTGTCAGGGTTGCTTTTAAATGCTTTCTAAAGCTGTCCTGAAGCTTCTGATATGAAGTGTATCCTGGTTTTCCTGGTGTGAGGTCTCTGCTTTCATGCCCAGTAGACACTTCTCCATCCCCCCCTTACCCAGGGCTCCCTCATGTCCAGTCTCACACCCACACCATGAACCATACAGCACACTATGAACCACACATGTGACAAGACACAGCACACCATGAGCTATGCATGTGACACGACACACAGCACACCAAGAAGCACACATGACAGCACATCATGAACCATGTATGTGATGTGATACACAGCACAGCATGAACTATGCATGTGACATGACACAGCACATGACACACAGTACAGCATAAACCATGCAAATGGCATGACATCATGAACCACACTTATGAAACAGCATGAACCACATGTGACATGAAACACAACACAGCATGAACCACACATGTGACATGACACAGCACACCATAGACCATGCATGTGGAACAACACACATAACAGGAACCACATATATGTCATGGCACACACGCGCAGCAGAGGAATAGGGCTTTTTTGCTTAGTACTACACAGTTGGTCCCTGCCATTTTTCCTTCAGATTGCAATGATGGAGTGCCGGCCCCAAGCAGGGTGGAGGGATAGATGCTGGATGGAAACTGTGTGCAGGTGGCACTTACTTGGCCAGGTGGGCTGGCAAAGCACAGCTGTGAGGCATGGGGACTGTGGAGGAGGGGTGGGGATCCCAAGGGAGGAGGTGGTCAGCTTGGTGGGCACGACTGTCTCCAAGTGGAACAGCTGTGGCTGTCCACTGCTGTGTGCTGGTTGCGAGGAGCTTACTGCTGCCCATGCATGCCCGTGTTTAGAGGGGAGCACGGAGATTTGGGAGGGCACAGCCCATACACGATGGGGCAGCCACACTGAAGCCAGTGTGCCCATGCCAGCACCCTTGTTTCTCCAGCATCCTGGTCACACAGCACAGGAGGCCCAACAGGATCCCGTGGCTTCCTAATGTTATTGCACATGAGCCCAGGGATACCACCCACGGCACAGCCGAGGCTTTTGTTTCCACAGATCCAAGCCACAAGTACAGTTCCAAGGTTGGCCCTGGACATGGGCCATGCACTGCCTCCATGCCAGTATGGTATCCACAGTCAGCATTTGTGGACAGAACCCCTGCCCCCCCCCCCACACACAGAGGCTGTGTTTTTTTTTTTTTTTTGACAGGCAGAGTGGACAGTGAGAGAGAGAGACAGAGAGAAAGGTCTTCCTTTGCCGCTGATCCGATGGCAGGAGCCAGGAGCCAGGTGCTTTCCTGGTCTCCCATGGGGTGCAGGGCCCAAGCACCTGGGCCATCCTCCACTGCACTCCCTGGCCACAGCAGAGGGCTGGCCTGGAAGAGGGGCAACCGGGACAGAATCCGGCGCCCCGACCGGGACTAGAACCCGGTGTGCCGGCGCCGCTAGGCGGAGGATTAGCCTAGTGAGCCATGGCGCTGGCCTTGTGTTTTGTTTTAAGGGTTGCCGGTGTCAGGTGCAGCTCAAGGAGCGTCCACCACTCCCTTTTCCATGTCTGCCAGGGCTTGCCCTGAAATTGGAGGACCGGGGACAGGTCCATGCCTTCAGCCTTTGTCAGGGTCAGAGAAATGGGGATGCACCCTGTGGCCAACACCCTGGGCCTGGCATCCTTCGCCAGCTGATAGTATGAGAGCACTTTGAGGTATTCCTGGAGAAATGGAATTAAAAGACAAGGTGTTTTCGGGTGCAAAAAAAAAAATTTGAAACCCACATATGTGGAGTCTCAGAAAAGCTCATGAAAATGTGAATTATGGGACAAAAAAAAACACCTGTTGGGCGTCCAAAATAGTTAGCACCAAAAACTCAGCTCATCTTTTAGTTCCATTCTTCTGTGAAGTTTCCACTGTGCCCTTGAACTCACAAGCAGCTTCTTGGGCCAAAACCTCAGGAAAGGGTGTGAGTCAAGCAGGGGTGTGGTGCCATGGGCCCTGCCCTGGATCCCCAAGACTGAGTGGAGACACCATGGCATGAGAGGCCAAGAGTCCCCATAGCACTTAGGCTGTGGGAGTGAATTCCTTCCCCCACCTGGCCTTCTCTTGGCCGCTGGGATCTCATTCATTAGCGCCCCAGGGCCATGCCTTCCAGCTCCCTGCCCGGCTACCACCCTGTGATTTGAGTTGAGGGTTGGGAGGAGGGGGGTATACAATGTGCCCCTGCTGGCTTGGTTTCCACCCCCCCACACCACCACCAGCAGGAGCCGCTGCTCTTGAAAGACAAGGTAGCACCACCAGCAAACCTGCTGTGGTCGTTTGGAGTTTGTTGGAGTTCAGGGATGTCCCAAGTCCCTCTTTCCCTCCCCACCCCCAGAGAAGTGGTAAGCACATGGCCAGGGGGACAGGGCTGCAGAGGAGTGAGTGCCAGACAGACACAGGCACCAGCCACAGCCTGGGAGGCGTCTACCAGGGGCAGGCGTGGACACGTGATGTTTATGTAGCAAGCTGGCAGTGAGATCAGGGGATCCTGGCCACTGGGGGTTGAAAGGCAGGCAGAGGCCTCCAGGAGGGTGGAAGTCGGGGGGGGGGGTAGGGGAGAGGGACCTCCCTGCATCCTGCCCCACACCAAGGGGCAGGAGCATGAGTCAGGCTGAGCTGGGGATATTTGGACACCACCTGGAGTGGATCTCCATGAAGTTGTTAGGGTCCAGTGGTCCCAACGTGCAGGCGAGCTGGGGCCTCTGCCCAGAGCCCCTGTGACAGGGCTTCTACGGAGGCTTTGGTGGGGACCGTGGTCCACAAGGAGGCTGAGGGATCAACCATGAGCGGCTGCTATGAAGCTGCTGGCAGGTGCATGGGCAGCAGGACAAAGCCTCTGTCTTGGTGAGTGGTGGGCTGCAGTGTCCTCGCTCCATTCCTCACCTTGAGGGCTGTCTGTGGAGCAGCTAGCAGGATAGGTGTCTGGCTTCAGCAGAGTGAGCCAGCAGGAAGCACAAAGAGAGGCAGTCAGTCTCCTGCATCCCCCCGGCACGGAGGCACCACCTGATGCCACTTTTGTGTCCCATTACATAGAGGCAGTTGGCCACAGAGGCACGAAGCACCCAGGCTGTGATCTGAAGCTGGCAGAGAAGCCCTGGTGTGCCTCCAGCTTGTCCAGGCCCAGAGGAGCTCCCCCCATCCTCACCCCCACCCAAGAGAGATGGGAGGGAAGTGGAAGAGGAGAGGTGCTGTGTGAGGGTGGAGAACTGGTGGCTCACTCAGATGGCCCGAGTGGACACCCTGGCCCTGGCCCTGATTGGATTAGAGGACACGGCAGGGGGGGTGGATTAGAGGACACGGCAGGGGGGGTGTGGGGACATGGAGGTGACATCTGTTGGGCACAGGCGCTGGTGGAGAGGTAGAAAGGTTGTGAGCATCCTCCATGCTGTATGTATGCTGTCGGCTTACAATGTTTTACGGGAAACGCGCACTACCCAAGCAGGTTTACCAGGAGGCGCTGTGCCCATGGCTCTGATAGCCTCTGGAGAAGCCCAGGCAAAAACAAGAGTGTTAGATTACAAACAAGTACAGGTGGACCTGTTCCTACCATCGCTCGGGTTCTTGGTGCAAGAAGACTGATTGTAGTCAGTCAGACAGACAGCTCAGAACCAGGAGCTGCTCTCAAGGGAATGGAAGGGCTGGGCGTCTCACTCCCCCCACCCTCTGCCATCTGCTCCTGGGGCTGTTAATGGCCATCTAGTGCAGTAATCCATACCAACCATCCGCTCCCATGCATGGTGGCTGTCAGGAAAAAACAGAGACATGGAAAGTGTGGTGCGCACACTTGGGCAGCCAGCGTCTCCACTGCAGGAGGTTCTGCCATAGCGCCTCAGGTCTGCAGAGGGCTCAGGACAGGCTGCCACTGACCCCTTCCTCCTCCCCCCACCACCAGCCTAGTAGGGGAAGTCACCCTGGATCACAGGGCACAAACCTGGTCCTGTCCCAGGCAGGTGGAACATACAGGCCCTCTTGCCTGCTTGTTGGTGGGAGTGGGTGTGGTGACCCCTCTCCCCCTCCTCCACTCCCTCCCATTCTGCTGCTTCCAGTGACCAAGAAGATGAGCACATCTGACTTCATGGTGCAACACCGCTCTGACCAAGCTGCAGACACAGCAGGCAGCCGGGATCTGACTCTGTGCATGGAGGAGGGACTCAAACAGTAGGTGGGCTCATTGTTATGCTCCTGAGAGGCTGGGGACCCTGTGGGTCACATTTTCTTGTTTCACTGCAAGGCAGGCCCCTGTGTGTGCGTATGTCTGTGTGTATGTGTCCCTTTCCCATACCCACTCCCAGCGTTCTCCAGGGTCGGCCACCTGTGAGTTCCCCACTGGGCTGTGCCAAGCAGGGTTGCCCTGTTTCAGTTCCTGAAGCTAAAGATTCTCCAGAGGGAAGGGATCCTTCTGCCCCACCCACCCCCCATCCCTGCAGGGCTGCACAGAAAGCAAAGGGGTGCCACCACCATCAGGGAAGGTGACATTGGGTTGGAAAAACCCCACCAGCCCTCTCTCCAGACTCAACCTCTCAGGATGCCCGCCATGCAGGGCCACAGCACATGGCCTTCCTTAGTGGGCTACCTTGAGGAGGTGCTTAGGTCACCTGCCATCAGGAAAAAGCAAAAACACTTAAGATTCTCCCAGGATCCTGTGAACCATGCATGGAGGGGTGAGGTCCTGAGGCATCCCATGAGGCCAACGGTGTGAACTGTGTGATGTCATAGCACTTGGGGAAGGCGTTTTATTTTATTTATTTACTTTATTTGAGAGTCAGAGTTATAGACAGAGAGGGAGAGGTCTTCCATTCACTGGTTCTCTCCTCAAATGGCCTCAACAGCTAGGGCTGGCCTGATCAGAAACCAGGAGCCAGGATCTTCTTCCAGGTCTCCCATGTGAGTGCAGGGGCCCAAGGACTTGGCCATCTTCTGCAGCTTTCCCAAGTCATAGCAGAGAGCTGAATCGAAAGTGGAGCATCCAGGACTCAAACCAGCACCCATATGGGATGCCGGCCCTGCAGGTGGCAGCTTTACCCACTAAGCCACAGAGCTGGCCCCAGGGATGGCATTTTTAAGAATTAAAGACCTTCCCACAAGGCCTAACCCAGGGAGGCAGGCATGTGCACATGGATATAGCTCAGCCAGGGGCTGCGAGTCTCCCTGGAATCTCCCATGGGGAAAAGCTAAGTGTCCAACAGCTTCATTTCATGAGTCTTTCCTTTATCCCCACAGAATCTTCCCCTAGAAGATTCCCCAAACTTCTCCAGGGTCAGTTGTGGGCACAGGAGTTGCTGATTCATCTGGGAGGAGTAAATCCCAAACAGTGCAGGCTGTGGCAGAGCTGAAAATAATCCCATTTTCCCCGACAGCCTATAGGTGGCTCCCTGTGGAAACCCAATCGCCAATTCCCTCTCCAACAGGACCTTCTGCCCATGACCCCTGCACAGGGCACATTGCACGTGACCACTCTGCTCCTGACCCCTGTGTGTGCGTGCTGGTTCACTCCCCAGATGGCTGCAAGGGCCAGCACTGGGCCAGGCCAAAGCCAAGAGCTTCCTCCAAGGTCTTCTCTATATGAATCTCAGCCCAGCCCAGATGCCCATGTTGTGTGGTGAGCTCCCTGCTCCCACAGCTGCAAGGACCTGCCTAACTGGCTGGACTTCTGCAGATTAAGAGGGAAACCACAGGGAACCCCGCAGCCTCCAGGGGGCGTCCGTGAGCTGTCTTCCCAAAGAGAAGCTGCTCTGCTGACAGGTGCTCCTGCCTTCTCGAGGGAGCTGGAGCTCCACTTCAACCATCAGCTCAGAGAACTCCTCATGCCCCAAGGTGAGCCCTCGCCTTCCCCTTTTATCTCAAGTACAAGGTGCTGGCCAGATCCAGGCAGTCGGGTGAAGCTCCATGTACTGGTTTCTCACCCACAGCAATCGATCTCTCACAGGTGTGGAGTCTGGGACGTCCCACACCACGGCTGCCAGTGTCCATGAGGGCATTTTCTTTCTTTGGGGAGGGAACTTCCATTCACTGGTTCACTCCCCAAATGACTGCAGTGTCCCAGGGCTGGGTCAGGCCAAAGCCAGGAGCCAGGCAGGAGCTTCTGCCAGGTGTCCCACACTGGTGCAGGGTCCCAAGCCCTTGGGTCATCTTCCACTGCTTTCCCAGGTACATTACCAGGGAGCTGGATCAGAAGTGGAGCAGCCAGGACTCGAACTGCCGCCCCTGTGGGATGCTGGCACTGCAGGTGGAGGCTTAGCCTTCTATGTCACAGTGCTGGCCCTGCTTGGAGGGCATTTTCTGCTTTTTGGAAACACCTTGTTGCATCCTGTGGAGGTGGGAGGGGTGAGGTAGCTCTTTGGGATTCTCTTGCAGAGAGTCACAGATCCTATGCTGAAGGCTGTGTTCCTGGTCCTTTGCCCTTTGATCATATCCTCAGCATGAGGGGCTAGGAGGAGTTCCGCAGGAGGACTTCTCGGGGGAGGTACACACACAGGTGGACCCTGGCAACCATGCTCGCCACTCTTGAGGTAAACACCACAGAGCCATCATCGGGGTCTCACATAGAGAAAGAGGAGAGTACACTACGCCCCAGTAAGATACTCAGCTGTGGAGACCCAATCCCCGGGGCCCCTTAGCTCAGAACCGACCCTAACACACTTGGCATTTCATGTGACAAAGAAAGCACTGATGTCAGCACCAATGTCAGGGACTCCATTCTCATTGACCACCTGTAGGACAAAGGTGACCACTGGAGGCACTCGTTTTCTAGTGTGTTGTAACCCCTGGGATGGGCTCTTCTATCCGGGTGAGTTGTAACCCCTGGGATGGGCTCTTCTATCCGGGTGAGTTGTAACCCCTGGGATGGGCTCTCCTGCCTGATTCAAAGACTTTGGAAAGCAGTCCATCTAGGAGAGGTCATTCTCAAACAGTTGGATGACAGAAAGCAACACAAAACAAACAAAAAACCTTTGAATAGTTTTGTGCATGAACTATCTATCTGTTTGTTTTGTAAAAGTATAATTATGCTATGCACATTTTTAGGAATTGTTTTTTTAAAAAGATTTAGTTATTTATTTGAAAGAGCTACACAGAGAGAGAAGGAGAGGCACAGAGAGGCCTTCCATCTTATGGTTCATTCCCAAATTGCCCGCAATGGTCAGAGCTGAGCTGATCCAAAGCCAGGAGCCAGGAGCCAGGAGCTTCTTTCAGGTCTCCCACAAGGATGCAGAGGCCCAAGGATTTAGGCCATCTTCTACTGCTTTCCCAGGCCACAGCAGAGAGCTCGATTGGAAGTGGAGCAACAGGGACTTGAACCAGAGCCAATATGGGATGCCAAAACTGCAGACTGTGGATTTACCCAATATGCCACACTGCCGGCCCCAGGAATTTTATTTATTAGAGAGGCAGGCAGCTTCCAGCTGCTGGTTCACTCCTCAAATGCCCACAACAAACCTGGGCCTCCGCCAGTCCGCAGCCTGGAGCCAGAAACCCAATCTGAGTCTCCCTTGTGAGCGGCAGGGACTTGAGCCACCTGTGCGCTCCTGCCTCCCAGGGCTGTGCAGGAAACAGAGTGGGAACCCAAACCCCCAGGCACTCCAGCACGGGCAGGGCTGTGGGCTTGTACTGCATGTCTCTCTGGCTTGACACACACACTGGGAATTATGTCCTCAGCTCTGTGTGGTGTGGGAGGCTCTGTGGGAAGGGATGCAGAGGAATTGGGCCAATGGGTGTTCCCTCCTCCCTTCCAACCCCCAGCAGGGTCACACCTAGGGAGCTGCCCACCAGTTGGAGCTCCACTTTGACCATCGGCTCAGAGAACTCCTTGTGCTCCAAGGTAAGCCCTTACCTGCCTGCCCCTTTTACAAGTTTCTCTCTACAATGGAATGTTTGAACGTGTGTGTGTGTGTGTGTGTGTGTGTGTGAGAGAGAGAGAGAGAAAGAGAGAGAGAGAGAAAGAAACAGACTGAGGATGGACAAAGAGGTGTGGCTAAGACTGTGGCATCCCATGCAGGCTCTTGGGGATGAGCCGAGGGCTACAGTCAGCCGTGCTGTGTGCACCTGTGGTGAGGGAGGCAGGGGTGGGAGGAGGGCCAGGATGGGGCCCTCATTGCAGGTGGGGTGGTATGTGTGCTCTGGGCAGCTCTTCTGAGTTTTTTTTATGTTTTAGATTTTTTCTGCTTTAGATTTTATTAATATAAAGAGAAGAGGTTTCATGTATTTTCTGGATGGTAACCAGGCAACCACACTTGCCTTCCCTCTCTCTTTCCCTCCCTTGATCCCTCTCCTTCTTCCCTTTCTGTTTTTGCCCTTGAATTTTGCAAAGGCATAATTTCAGTCCACCCTGTAATCATAGTCTAATACACCACTAGCCACAATGTCCAATAAGTAAAAAGTAGAAAGACCACATTTCCACAGGTACATAAACCAGCATTAAAAATGACAGCCATATCACAAGATGTCTGTTTCATCCATATATATTTATTTTCAGCTGTTTTTCTGCTTTTAGTATAAATGAAGGCAAACCTGAAATAATAAGTGGCTATGATGTTCTCAATGCTTCATGCACCTAAAACAGTATTTATTTAATTTCCATAGCTTTTTGTCTTTATTTTTTAAACTTTCATTTAATAATTATAAATTTTGAAAGTACAACTTTTGGATTATAGCAGACCCCCCATATCCTCCCTCCCACCTGTAAACCATCCCTCTCCTACTCCCTCTGCCATCCCATGCTTCATTAAGATTCATTTTAATTATCTTTATATACAGAAGATCAGTTTAGTATATGCTAAGTAAAGATTTCAACAGATTGCCCCCACACAGACACACAAAGTATAAAGTACTGTTTGAATACTAGTTTTACCATTATTTTGCATAATACAACATACTAAGGACAGAGATCCTACACGTGGAGTAAGTGCATGGTGACTCCTGTTGTTGACTTAACAATTGGAACTCTTATTTATGATGTCAGTAATCACCCAAGGCTCTTGTCATGAGCTGCCAAAGCTATGGAAGCCTCTTGAGTTCACAAATTCTGACCTTATTTAGATAATGCCATAGTCAAAGTGGAAATTCTCTCTGCCCTTCAGAGAAAGATACCTCCTTCTTTGATGGCCCATTTTTTCCACTGAGATCTCACAGAGATCTTTCATATAGGTAATTTTTTGCCACAGTGCATTGGCTTTCCATGCCTGAGAAACTATCATGGGATTTTTGGCCAGATCCAAATGCCTTAAGGGCTGATTCTGAGGCCAGAGTGCTGTTTAGGGCATTTGCCATTCTATGAGTCTGCTGTGTATCCTGCTTTCCATTTGGGTCGTTCTCTCTATTTAATTCTATGAAATGCCTGAATGTATATACCTTTGTCCTCCTGTCCACCGGAGCTGCCTGGCTCATCCTGGATGGGGGTGTCTCCTTGCCAGCACCTTGCTTGGCAGTGGTGGCCAGGAGGACAAGGGTGACCTAACCCCGGAGGTGAGGTTCTCTTTTATTCCACAGAACTTGTCCGTGAGGAACTCCATCAGCAAGAACATGTTGGAGACAGGCAGTGAGACCCTGGGGGATGAGTGGCAGTCTGTCTCAGGGATCACCTCTATTTGCTACTCCATTGTGGAGTCACTGTCTCAGGAGGGACAGCCCATCCCAGAGAGCTGAGACCTCAAGGGAACCTCAAAGCTGAATGCTGAGTAAGAGCCTGGAAGGCTAGGACGGTGCTGTGGCTCAATAGGCTAATGCTCCACCTGTGGTGATGGTCACCGGGTTTTAGTCCCGTTCAGGGTGCCAGATTCTGTCCCAGTCACTCCTCTTCCAGGCCAGCTCTCTGCTGTGGCCTGGGAGTGCAGTGCAGGATGGCCTGTGCCCCGCCAGCCCTGGGCCCTCCTCAGGAACCCCTCCCTGTGCCAACCTGCATCTCAGCAGTGCTCCCACTCCCTGGCCTCTTGTTTGGTGGCAAAGTAGCTGCACACATCCTAGTTTGTAAATATTTTGTGTAGAAGAGGGGACTTCAGGGAGTAAAGAAGCCACTGCCAAGAAAAAAAAACACCCCCTACAACAACAACCCACCAAAGGTCAACCAGCATGGGGTACCCATCTCAGATAGTGGACTCAGCAGAGCACACACTCAGATGTGAGTGCCTAGTATGCCCCGTAACTAATGTGTGCCTTCCTATCAGTTAATGTTCCTAGGGTTCTGGGCCCCAGGAGGAGGAAATACAGAGTCACAAGGGCTGAAAACTACACTGCAGAAAAGTTGTGCTCTGAGCATTTCAGGCATGGAAAGCCAAGACACTGTGGCAAAAAATGAGCTACATAAAAGAACCCTGTGAGGGAGATCCCAGTGGAAAGAAGGGGCCATCAAAGAAGGAGGTACCTTTCTCTGAAAGGAGGAGAGAACTCCCACTTTGATTATGGCCTGGTCTAAATAATGTCAGAGTTTGTGGACTCAAGAGGCTTCCATAGCCTTGGCAGTTCATGACAAGAGCCTCAGGTGATCACTGATTTCATAAATAAAAATGTCAATTGTTAAGTCAACAACAGGAGTCACTGTGCACTTGCTCCCCATGAAGGACCTCTGTCCTTAATGAGTTGTACTATGAGAATTAATGGTAAAACTAGTCTTCAAACAGTACTTTATACTTTGTGTGCCTGTGTGGGTGCAAACTGTTGAAATATTTACTTAGTATATAGTTTTTCTTCTGTATATAAAGATAATTAACAATGAATGTAGCATATGATGGGGGAGGGAGTGGAGGTGGGATGGTTTTGGGGGTGGGAGGGTTGGTATGGGTGGAAGAACTACTGTAACCCAAAGTTGTACTTATGAAATGTATATTTATTAAGTTGTGCTCTGAGGTAGAATGTGTGATAGTCAAAGCATCATGGGGGCCATGCCGCTTCCCAGTTCTCTTGGTCGTTTTGTGATCCCCCTGTAACCACACCAAATATGTCTCCTCATAGTATGATGAAGAGGAGCTGACTACTGAGCTTAGAACTCACGAAAGTCTGTGCAGACAAATTGTGCTTATGAGTTCCAGAAACCAGTCCTCCCAGGTCAGCATGACCAGAGTATTGAATTTTTAATACAGAATGTAAAGGGGTGGGAGTAACTAGGGGTGCGATTAGCATGGGCTCTAGGCTGAGTGGACTTCATCGTGGGTAATGAAGCCCTGGAATCTCTAACACAATCAAATTCCTCTTTCAGATCCCAGCCAGATAACATTTTGTAAACACTTAGTTGTTCAAAAACCTGTGATTGTTTTATGATGATAGTGTAAGTCTCACACAAGTTCAAGGAACTGTTACCATGCCCTCAAGCAACTTCAGCCCCTGAAGATCTGTTCCTGACTTGCCAATGTCCACACCCTCCACAGGTTTTTTGAATCCTTAATTTTTGAACTCCTTAAAATCCACATTCTGTCCACACTGAGTGAGATAGAAGTGTGAGACCCCCCCCCCCCATGCTATCATCCCCATCTTTCTCTGTTTTCTAACCTTGTCCTCCTGATTCTGGTAAGGAGATAAGGATTGGATTGGATTTTGGGAGCACTCCTATACACCTCCTTTTTTGGCCCAAATTCTCATCCCACTGCTTATCACCAGCAACTGGCCCAGGAGAATTCCCTCTCTGGCCTCTCCCATCCTCCACACTAATGAAAGGGACATAGCAACTCTGGTTACCTCATATTCATGCAGAGATATAAGTGA